CAGTAAGTTTAGTTATATTAACTGAAACTGGAACAATACCTGTGAGAGTGAAGCTTAAGATCTGTATCAAAGTCTGCAAGGACCCAGATTTAATGTCCTACATAATTATACGGAGGTTTCACTGTAAGATCTGAGACTATAGCTGTTCAGGTGTTGGTATCTAATTTAGGTTAGCTACTGTGTTCTATAGTTTGTTTTTTCTTTTTTTAATACAGTGTGCTTTAATATGCCTTAACTCTGATTAGTTTTCATCATTATCAACTGAAAATTAATATCCTTGATTTGGAGTTCATCACTTGTTAGGTTTTGATTTTCAGTATGTGTCACTTTTAATTTAAGCACACATATGGTACCAGTGACACAACGTAGAAGATAAACATCAAAGTCATGTTTCCTTTCATGAAAATTCAAACAAAAAAAGATCTATATTTAGAAAAGGGGGGGAAAAGGGGGAAAGGAACATAGTAAGAATTCTTCCTTAAAATACGCATGGATCAGATTATATGGTCTAGGAATAAGAGCTCCCTTATGAACGATTTTTTTAAAATTTATTAATTAATTAAAAAAGAAATGCTGCAGTACTGCAAGAGGTGAGCGCCCTCTTCTGGACAGGGCAGAAACTGTAACACCGCCCCTATGTGTGAATGGTTCATCAGAGACTTCCAAAGAGAATTGGTTGCCGTAGCAACAGCAGATCGTAATAGTGCAGCCTCTTGAGTGTGACCCTATGTTTAATTGTGTAAGACCTGCTTTCGTCATCCCGAAGAGAGAGAGAGAGGCGGCATAGAAAGTATATATTTCATTCTGTGCAAACAACCGTGACCCTGATGAATTTCAAATGTCTTTGCAACATGTGTTGTTTATTTTCTGTTGGGTTCATAAATCTTATGGATTCCTTGGAAGTTGGCAGATGCTTGGAGAAAGTGAAATCAAGATAGCTGAAACCCGAAATTTGATTCACTGAGAAAAATCATCAATTGAAACCATCAAAACTTCACCCGTCTTGGTGTCATACTTTCTGGGTTGTATCTCCTGGTGTTGGACCCTCAGAAGGATTTCTCAACCGGATTCCTTTTTTAAAATTTAGTTTTTAAAATTTACTCATACATTTCAAAGCCTGTCTGGGTTTCACTCCAAACTACGTAGAAGAAATATTCATTTGTTAAAAAAAAAAATTCATTTGTTAAAAAAACAGATGGATGGATGGATGGATGGATGGATGGATGGATGGATGGATGGATGGATGGATCGAATATAAGCCAGTTTGTAGTCCTACACCCTCAATCCTTAAGATACATTTGATAATCTTCAAATCACTTCCTAATGTAGAATTTCATAGACTTGGTTTTATATGATGCTTTTTGACCTTGTGTTTTATAGTCTTTTATGCCTGTTTATGGTATTTCAGTTGTCTTGTTTATTATGTCTGTTTCCTTTTTATTCTTTCACTAGATTTTGTTAATTATTGTCATTTTCTGTTCCGCATCTATTATAATGCTTTGGAGTTGTTTTAAATGTAAATTTTTTTAATTTTTTAGCATAAATGTATCTGACTTTTATGCCCATAATGTGAAACTTTCTGTCTGAATTTATCTTTTCAGTAATCTCCTTTTCCGTTTCTGTCAGTGCTTCTCTGAAACTGTTATATGTCATTTTATAGAGCAGGGAGGTTGTGAATTAATTGAGAAAGTGGTTAGCAGAATGGAAGATTAGTGAATGACTTGATAAAGAAATAAAGAGATTAGTTAGTCTAGCAGACAAGGCTGATATAATATAGATTTTTGTTGTAAATCTACAACAAACAAAAAATTCTGTGGCCCCACACGTCTGTGTGTTTTCCTTGCACACTGAAAATCATCTGCTAGTAGTCAACAACAATGATGCTGAATGTGCATAATTACAGTATCATGAAGCCTTTTCTCAACAACTGAGAATGTGCTGACCCAACTCCTGCTCCTAGAAAACACTTTTTTTTATTGTTATTTTATTTTAATTACATTTATATGTTAATGTTGCATAATTTACATTAGCCCGAGGCAACACATCTAATTACATTTTTCTTTCCTCCATCTTGTAATGTATTTTAATAGCTACACACAGGAGGTGGTGGACACAATATTATGAACACCTACTGTGCCGTACAATTAGTTTCACTTTTAGGGGACTCAAGCTTTTCACTTTTTTCCCCAATAATTAATGGGGGATGTGTTTAAATAAAAATATGATACAAGTAGGACCAAATACAGGTGGCATGGTGGTCTGATGGCTAGCACTGTCACCCACACAGCAATTAGGTTCTGGTTTGAATCCAGGTTTGGGCCCTTGTCTGTGAAGTTTGCATCTTCTTCCCCTGTTTGCATGAGCTCCCATAGTCCAAAGACATATTTCGGGTTAGGAGATTCTAAATTGGCTATAGATGTAAAGGGTTAGGGTTGTGAACATGAACTGTCTGTCTCTGTGTGTTAGTCCTGCAACAGACTGGCAATTTGTGCAGCGTCTCTCAGCCTATGAGGGTTTAATAAACGCTCCAGCCCTGTGGCAACCCTTAATTAGATAAGTGGAAGAAATGGACAAATGGGTCCAAATACAAGCAACCTGTTGCTTAGTTATAGCCTCCTCTTCACAACCTAATGTATTTCCATGTTTAAACCTTTTAAAAGGCGTCCTTGCTCAGTATTACATATTTTCAAATAATTAGATGTATAAAAATGTAAGCGTTAAGCCTGAGTTATTCTTATTTTACAGAGATTCAATACCATAATTTCATACTAGTTTTTGATTAGCTTTGTTTGTGTTTGTTTTTCTTCTTGATTATGTCATCGAAGCAAGACTTGCCCTTTAATGAAGAGCAATCTGAGATGTGCTGAGAAGAAGGTAAGAGCCACTTCAAATGTCAACATCTGTGGGTAGAAAACTGAGAAGTTAGTGAATCGAATAAGGAGAAAATGCGTTGCGTTGATTACTTGTGGGAAACTGAGTTATTGCAGCTATGACAAAAGCAATGAAATGACAACTTGAACAATCAATAGAAAAGACTTGAATAAGAGCTTTTGTAAGAAATCAGCATGCTGAGGATTTGTGTGAGTTTGGTGGAAATCATGATGTGCCAGTCAGCTTAAAATAACTTCAATATTTGCCCCTTTTTTTCTTTTCTGGTTTGGTTTATTGTTTGTATTTGCAGACCTGACTAATTTATTATTATTATTATTATTATTATTATTAATAATAATAATAATAATAATAATAATAATAATAATAATAATAATAATAATAATGTATACTTTATTGATCCTCGTGGGGAAATTATGCTCTCTGCATTTAACCCATTCACTCAGTGAAGCAGTGGGCAGCCACTAATCAGGCGCCCGGGAAGCAGTGTGTAGGGATGGTACCTTGCTCAGGGGTACCTCAGGGTAGCTGTTCAGTGGGGGGCAACCACACTAACTGAGCTATCCCTGCCCCAATTTTTCACACAGAAAACATTTCAACTGACACTAAAGAGTTATCATTCATGTCCGCTTAACTGGGCTTTATTATTCCATGAACTTTGAACTGTTTGAACTGTTTTTTGTTTGGTTTTTTTTTTGTGGATTTTTTTGTGGTGGTGGTTTCTTGTTTTTTCTTTACACACATCATAAAATACTGTAAATTAACTTGTTTGCTTGTATGAAAGCTGAGATTCATGTCTGTGCTTTTTGTGTTTGTTTGTGAAATTGAGACATTCAACAACAAAGCATTTTTGTTTTATTGTTTGCTGTGGCCCACTCCTTCGCACTGCAGTTACATCAGATTCATCCTCTGTTGTTAAGGACAGGGTTTTGTTGTGTGGTTGGCAAGTTTATGTAACAAATTCAATTTAAAATTCAATTTGGAGTTCCCACAATTAAGTCGCTGCAATAATGAGATTAAACTGATTATTTAGGGACCTGAACAGGTTTGTAAGACTGTGACTCATTGTTTGTTCATTTATAATAATGCAAATGCAGAGCAAGGTGCTTTTTTAGCAACATCGAAAAGCCCAGACCATCCAATGCTGTTTCCTAAATTGGACTTATAAGACATATTTATATGTCTTATCCAAGTTATAACAATGCAGAAAACCCTGATAAGATTCAAACTTTGGTCGACCTTTCCTGGAAAGCAAAGATAAAGATTCAGAAATGTCTTTGTGATCTAACTGAGGGCACAAAAGTGTTCTTTCTGATCGATACGCTATTTGCTTCTATGTTGATTTAGTATGCACTGTTAGAGCCACAGCCTGCTCTGCAGATATGGGGCATTAGATAGTACTAGATGAAGAATAAAAGAAGATTCGTGGAGGACTTTCAAATGTATTTTTTTTAACCTGTATAAAAAGAGACCCAAGGCCATTACAGTGTATAATTATAGTTTATAATGTATTATTAGAAAATGTGTTTTGACAAGCATCTGAGCAATTAAATACTAAAACTCCCATGTAGGGATAACAAGGTTGAAAATCAACATGATAGTAGACTATCCACCTTAATTAAAATATAGTTTTATTATAGGTCAATCCAGTTTTACGCTTAATAATTTATTAACAATTTCTATTATTTAGGTATTTTGCAGCTATTTTCCATTTGAAGTATATTAGGATTTGACAAAAATACATTTGAAGACTTACTTGAATTTTGTGTTTGCCTAAAAACAGCTTTTCTCTATTTTGAGGGCCATTCCTGCGCTGTCCATTACCTGCGGTGCTGAAACTGATGAATTAACCTGGTGTCTCTTTTTCTAATGTGAGCAGCAAACTAATTTGATTACGCTAAATACGATTTTTCTCCAAATAAAAAAGTCATATAAATTAATATCGGCATCAGATAAGTAGACCGGGCCATCTAGTTGGAGCCTCAAGTGCCAGTTCCCTTTACCGGCTCACTCCAGTCAGAGCGTGGTGCTGCGTTTTCCCCCACGCGTCGTTGCCCTAATTCTTCAACCCTTGATAGGTAAATTTCTTACGCTCGCCAAGCTATTAATGGTTAAACTACGTCGTGGGCGTAGCGGCTCCTTGTAATGGCGACCGTGCCGTAGATGTTCCCAGGTTTGTGAAAATGAAGCGAAGAAGAAGTTATTTCTTTTAAGTAAAACGCCGAGGTTCCCCGTAGGAGGACTTTGCGTCTACAACCATCGTCTTTATAAGTGGCAAATATAGCTGTACTTTTGAACTTTTACGCTCCCGAAATGATGAAGCTCAAGTCAAACCAAACCCGGACGTACGACGGGGATGGCTACAAGAAGCGGGCCGCTTGCCTGTGCTTCAGGAGCGAGAGCGAGGAGGAGGTGAGTTCGGTGATGTGAACTGTCTGGAGGGCCAAGCTAATATTAGCATCCGTATGTTTTATCCAGCCTTTTCTGTTGTGTGTAGATCGAGACGTTTATCAACACGGCTTTGGTTTTATCCCAGCTGGAAAATGATTTATTTTGTTCTCGTGTCGACTCCCGACGTTTTGATTATTCACTATTTTTTAGCTGGTACTTACTCGAGTGTTATGTAAGCCTCTTTAGCAGTGCAGATAGCAGCCTCGGTTATGACCAGACTTACTAGCTCCGCGCTAATGCTAACGTTAGCTTGCTAATTACCCGGGTTGCTGCCGTGGGCAGCCGGCTATCGGCCAGCAACCACAGCCCACAGTACAGGCTGTGGTGAGTGCTGACTCTATCACTACCAGCTGTCGGATGGACAGAGAATATTTAGTATTTAAAGCGACAGCTAAGATATGTATCTGCTCGCGTTACAGATAGTTTGGCGAGCTAAGTGTATTGTGTTAATGCAACTGGTATTACTAGCCAAACATTGTACTGCTATGTAGCTAGTAGCTATCCTAGTTTAAGCCAGAAGATGACTCTGGCAGTGATAGCCGGCTTGTATCACTTGTGTATTTTGATTAGTTTGTTTGCGAAATTGACACTGTTGATATTTGGAGCACCAGCTTAATGGAAGCGTCGAGCCCTGTGTGCATATTTTACAACATTATTAATGCTATTTGTGTATTTATCGCTCCTATCTAGCCGTATCAGAAAAAGCGAAAACGTGTTGTGGATTACTTGAGCTCAGTCGCGATTTGGGACGCTCACGTACAGTCAAAAGGAGACACAAAGATGTCTTTGTACTTACATTTTTCTAGGGGAGGAGATGGGACCAAACCAATTCCTCATTTTGGTTAAAGTAAAGGCCTATACTGTGTAGACAGGGGTTGTTGATTACAGGAAACGTATCAGCATTACCAGCACCAAAGTGGAAACTTTTACCTAAGACTGTAGATTATTTGACTGGCAGCCAGGGGTTCCACAGCTCATCTCCACTAAGAACCCAACATCTAAACTAGTTCACTAGCTATGATTTATTGACGGTAATAAAAGTACTAGTTATCTTAAACCCAATGGGTTATCATTTCCATTTTTCTTGAGTTGTATTTTTCGATGTCCCAGTTGATATTATGTGAACAGTAACTCAGAGTTGGACTGTCATACCTGACCAGTATTGTATGGGGTGTTTTGCAGGTGCTACTGGTGAGCAGTAGTCGACATCCTGACAAGTGGATAGTTCCTGGAGGGGGAATGGAGCCCGAAGAGGAGCCCAATGTTGCAGCAGCTCGAGAAGTGTGTGAAGAGGTTGGTTGTGTCACTCAATATTGTTATATCTTATTTAAGCCTGTAGTATGATGGCCTTTTCTCTTTGGTTTTCCAAGTGACAGATGTTGTCTCTATGTATACTGCGTACTGGGAACCTTAACGTGATCCTTTTCAGAAATGTCAGTAGCTGGAAATATAATTCTCAGAAAGTGTGGCAAATTTGTTTGAGTATAGACTCATAAGATGTATTGTATTACAGTTCTGTTAACTTGTCTGTATTTAACACTGAGCCTGATACCTTGTTCTCAAAATCCATTTTGTCAATGCAGTCATCCTGTTTGCATGGACAGTAAGAGAGAGAGCCTAGCAACATGTAAGCTGTATCATAGCATCATGTTACAAAGCAGTCTTTAGGTGTCAAAGGAGGTCACACAGAGATTGAACACTGGCTGCACAGCAGTTTGACTGCAGTACAGTCAAGTCACACAAACGCAAAAAATGACAACAATTGAGTTTTATTGTTTGTAAGTTTCTCGTAGCTATATATATTAGTATACAGTAGTGGTCACATTACAAGGGCAGCTTGGAGGACACAACATGTTGTTTTTGTTGTTCTGTATTGGGGTGGATGGGTAGTAATTAGTAAACAGTTCTGAAGCTAATTGGAAATCAATATCCTACTTATACTGCCTACGCCTGTTTGTTAAATCAGGTATTCTTCCACTCTGCATGCTGTTCATCCTTTGGATATTTTGATCAGAATGGACACAGGGCACATAAGACACTGAATCTCACCCGGCGGTTGGCTCCTAGTGGGCCGCTGACCTTATAAAGCCTATCCTCTCTGTGTGATCCGTCACACTGATGGATGCTGATATCATCCCTTATCCTGGCTCCTGCTGATTGGTAGCTTTGGTGGTTGCAGGACACTTAGGCCTGCCAGCAAATTTCCACAGGGTCAAAAGCAATGTCACATCACTTCTCAGGCTCCTTATGTGCTAAAAGGCTACATTCAGAAACTCTGTGGTGACTGAGTGCTGCTTGATACATCACCAACTACACTGGCTTTCTAAGCCTTTTATTGGACGATGGTGTAATAGGACATATCCTAATCCTGGTGAGCCTGTTCTGATCACCGTATAAGTGATAAGTGATTGCTTATGCTTATTGGTTTGGAGTCTCTCCAGGGATGAGAGTGAAGACAAGGCATGCAGTAGCAAGCCAAAATTTACAGAGGGTTTCTTTGTTAGACTGTTCACTATCTCTGTTAATCCTTGTATCTTGGAGATGCACCCCGACCCTGCAACCTGAAGACGCATTGCATAACTGGTAACGAAGTCTCAGCTGTACATCCTCTTCCCAAGTGTTGCCCAGTAGTCTTGTGTTACATGAATGCCAGAGCTGGGAGACTTTTTCCATCTCATAAAAACAAACAGGTTGACTTTTGGCCTATTACTTAATCCCTGGCTCGTCTTTGGAGTTTCTAGTGGTGTGCCTGCTCTTTACCATATGATCAAGCTGAAGGCCTTAGGAGTGCAATTGGTACAGTGTGTGGAGTCAACATTTATTTATAGAGTGAAACTGGAAACTGAGGAAGAAGCTGCAGAGATGTCAGTGAGAGGCCTGGTGCTGTATCAAAACCTGACCTACTGTTAACCTCTGGGAGTTAAAATCTTGGAGATGATTTTTGGTGTTAAAATTTTCTCAACAATATTAAGCTCTCAGAGACCTAAAAGTTTCTCTATGACAGAAAGGTTGTGACATTTATATGGCTCTGATTTTAGGATTGTGAGAAAAGGTATAATAACTTGCAAAGTTTTTATTCATCTGCTTTTTTCCCTGACCTTTTACATGACAAAACTAAAAACGATTTTGAGAGAGAGGCTGTCAAAAAGTGCCAAAAGTTGAGAGAGGGTTATTTTTCAGATGTATAATAAGTCAATTTTAAAAATCAGTTGATCAGTAAATCGGGAACCTTTTCCCCCACTAATCTGGCACTTTCCAAGAAAACTGTGGCTTCAGCCTCTGAAAAATGTTTTTCTGTTTTTGTTGAATATTATGTTTTATGTAGTTTAGTTTTTTTGACTAGTAGTTGGACATCTGAGACTGGCCTCTGACAGATTGTGAATTTGTTTTTCCTCACTATATTATTGTTTTGTTTTTGTTTATTTTGTCAGTTGCTTGATTAATGTTAAACATTTTGTCAGAAGAAATCAATGACAATTATCAATGCGTTTAATAGTAATTTCATTGCTGTAGAAGTAATTTATGTCCAGTCATTATGAGGGGGGAACCTGACATTGACCTACTTTGTGAATTGATCCCTTTTTTAGGGATGTTAGCTTTTTCAGCTAGGAGAGTGTTTTCCAAGTGGTGCACCAATTCTTTTTGTTTTTGTTTTTGTTTGTGAGGATCATAAATTTTTGCAGTTTAGAACTACAAAAAAAAAAAAACGAGAGCCAAATCCCTGGCAATTTGCATATATGGGAGCCTAATAGGGGGAAAATATAGTGCTTTGTTTTGTGGGAAAACAAAGTTTACAGTTAAGGGGAGATGTGTGGAAAAATACCTGTCATATGACTTCTGCTGGACCAGCAATGTCAACGACTGTTAGCCCAAGTGTGTTATCTGTTGGGCGAAGTTGGGTAATGATAACATGGTATCTAAAGAGAAACTTGGAAACCAATCCCTTCTAGGAAAAAATAAAATAAACTGGTTTTGAAGTTGAGGCAGCAAAAACCTTGTTTTTGTTTTGCTTTGTTTTTTCTCTACTTTTTTTCTTTTTTTGGCTTGTGTTAAAGCTAAAGGAGGCAAGATATATGCTAGTGGCTCCTGACACTGTTGGACAGCTGTCAAAAGCATGCTTTTCAGTGTAATCAAAAGAAGAACAACATGTCATATGACATACAGTCATATGAAAAGAGTTTTCATCGGACTAAGCAGTCCTGCGATAAACTGAAGTATGCTCAGCAATAAGTACACAGCAGCAAGTAATCATTTTCTGTTTGACTTTGTCAGTTTCACATTATTGTCGAGGAATTTGGTCCCACTCTTCTTTACAAAGTTTTTTTTCCACCTCCTTGAGGTTTGCGGGTATTTTCTATGCACAGATCTCTTGTGATTCTGTCACGTTGAGGTCCTGACTTCGACTGTTCCATTGCAACACCTTGAGTCCTTTCTTTGTAAATTTGTTGTAGATCTGCTGGTATTCTTTGGATCATTGTCCTGTTGCATGACCCAATTTTGGCCAAGTTTTAGGCGTTGTTAGTGGTATCAGAGGTTTGTGCTGATATCTTGTGTTTGGGTTTCATCCAAATGTGGCGTTTTGTATTATGGTAATAAAAATCTTCACTTTGGTCTCATCTGTTGAAAGGACATTGTTCCACAAGTGTGTGGTTTGTTCATATGCAACTTTGTAAACCTAAACCCAAGTTGTGTTGCCATGTTCTTTTTACAGAGATTAATCTTTCTCCTGGCAACCCTTCCAAACAACCCATACTTGTTCAAACTTCTTCACACTTGCATACCCACTTAATTAGTAGCACCTGGCTTCTGCTTACCCTCTTAATTCCTTTGGAGGCAGTAAGGGTGTACTTCGGTTTTCACAAGACTCACATGACTGTATTTTGTAGGAATGTGCACAATCAGTTGACTGGACAGTTGAACATTGCTGCCCTGGCTTGTCAGCAGTGAAAATTTCTGTCAGTGAGGCTAATATGTCTTTAATGTGCAACACTCAGCCGAAGCAAAAGACAACGTGCAACACTAGTGCCAGTGGACACTAAAGGGCAAATGTGGACTCCCAAGTTTGTGAATGAGATAACTTGAGAACAAAGCAATGTAGGATATTCAAATTGATGCCATAGGTATGTGCTAAAAATCTTGGATGAGATTGAATATGTTACCTTGATCTCAAGGGCAAGGTCATGGCTCAAATTTTCAGAAAATCTTGTAAATGCCATAACTCGAAGGAAGTCAAATTTTCAAATGGATACGATAAGTGTATCTACTAAAAATCTCTCTTGCCTATTAAGTTAGTGTACAAGAACATCCCCAATTGTTTTTGTTTTACAGCCCTAAATAATGTGCCTCGTTGCAGGAAAGTGCATGCAGAACATGACTTCAGTCTTTGTATATGCTGTATATTGTTTTTATTTTGTGGACGCAAAAACCACAATCCAGGATTTAGATGGAGTGAATGTGTGGGGATAAACACAATCTTATGATGTAATGTAATCCAGTGCACAACAAACACCATTTCCAATTACCGTACAAATTAAATCAGCTCTATTTGAAACTATTTCAACTAAACACTATGAGGTTCAAATGGGTGTTTATTGTTAGGCTGTTGGAGTGCATTCAATTATACAAGTGTTTTTGCGTAGACCTCAATCTCTTCATATTGAACGAAAAGCCTTTAATCATCTGTTGTGACTTCATCCTGTGACAGTATTTACTGAGCATTTCATCATTTTTCATTCATTTTACAGGCTGGTGTGAAGGGGACTTTAGGTCGCTTGGTGGGAATATTTGAGGTGAGCTGCTGTGTGTTGACTTTTTTGGGGGGGTGTCTTCAAGTGTCACCTTACTGTTTGGTTAATTATGCAAATGTTTTCTTCCACAGAACCAGGAGAGAAAACACAGGACCTATGTGTATGTTCTTATTGTAACGGAGGTGCTGGAGGACTGGGAGGACTCAGTCAACATTGGTAAAGCACTGTTTGTTTACTTGTCAGAATGGGGATCATACGGACAAAGTTCTCAGGCAGTCACATGCTTGACTGTAGCTTTTTTTTTTTTTTTTGCCTGGCCTTAGTGATATTACAGTTTTTAGTGTGTGTTTACTGGGGAAGATTATAAAACCAGCTTTGTTCCTGCCCTTGTGATTTTCACTTTAGCTGTGTGTACAGTACTAATAATCAGTCAAAACCCATTTTTCATAATGACTTTTTTTTCCCCCCGTGTGTTGTTTTTTTTTTTTTCTTGCATGTTAACCTTCTCCACAATGCTTTCTTTTTCTGCAAAACAGGGAGAAAAAGGGAATGGTTTAAAATAGACGATGCCATACAAGTGTTGCAGTGTCACAAGCCTGTGCAGGCCACCTACTTTGAGGCTCTCCAGGAGAGTTGTCTGACCAGTAATGGAACTCCACTGGTGACCACGATAGGTGGGGACCTCTCCCCTACCTACAGCATCAATCAGAGCTCTGTTTCTGGGATCAGATAACTAAAACCACAACTCTGAATACCCCAGGAGCTTTCGCCACCACCTGCGCTCTTACTTGTGTTATTTCTCTTCTCTTCTCTTCTCTTCTCTTCTCTTCTCTTCTCTTCTCTTCTCTTCTCTTCTCTTCTCTTCTCTTCTCTTCTCTTCTCTTCTCTTCTCTTGCTTCTCTTCTTACTTCTCTTCTCTTCTCTTCTCTTCTCTTCTCTTCTCTCTTTCTTTTGTCTCAGTAAATGGTTTGCCTTGCCAACTCCTTTGTGCCAGAAATCTGGCGCAGACTCAACAAGTGTTGGATGAATAGTCCAAAACACTTTGTAAATGTAAATGTAATTTTTGACCCCTCTTCTTTTTTGTTTTTGTTTTTACTGACAACTGCATGAAGTGTCCCCTCGTTCCCTTTTCCTTAACACACCCTTAGCGTGGTGTTTATTGAATGCAAGAACTACTTTTTACTGTTGTAATGTAAAAGTGTATACTTAGTGCTTAAGCTGAAGGCTTTTGGTGGTCTTTTTAATGTCTCCATCTTTTTTTTTTTTTTGTTTATTTTTCTGTGAATGAATGTGCCCATAATAAGTGTACTCCCTCCCCTGTTTTAAGGATAGGAAAAATTGTATCTGAATGAAAAGAATTGTGGGAAGTGACTTGTCTTGCATGAGCGCTATTGTTGTTGCGTTTCACTCACTCGAGTGACCTGATGCTGACTGTGTGACAGACAGGGTAAGGTCTTTTGGCTTTTCTTCACTCTTCTCCCTGTTGTAGTTGTTCTTGTTATGTTTTTTTTGTGGTTTTGTTTTGTTGTGTTTTTTTTTTTAACCTGAAGGATACGGCCCCTTAATTTCAATATTCTTTCCATTTCTGTTTTCAGCTGTGTTTCTTTCCTATTTGGGAAGCTAGCCAAGCACTACAGGTTTCAATTTCAGAGCATGCATATATGTATATACGGTATGTATATGCGCTGCACAGTGACTGAAAGAATGTCAGCAGACAATGTAAAAACCATCTTTGTCCTCACTCTTCTCTTTTTGATCCCTTTTTGTTTTCTTTGTTAAAACGCTTTCATGTGACTGACTACAGAGTCTTCCTCCAAACACTGAGAGGGTGGAAATAGTAGATTTCAGAATCATGGACTTGTGTAATTTCAAAGTGCAGCACATATCACTTAAGTTATTAAAACAATTTCCATATTTTACTCCTCACATTCAGATTGGTTAAAAGCAATTGTTTACATTGTGTTTGTAACATAGTACAGATGAATTTAGCGGGCACTTTTCATTATGGTCATGACTCTCCTTTTTTTTTTTTTTTTAAACCTTCCCTCCTTAGTATTTATTCTGCATCCCCCAAAATACTCAAAACACCTGCTTGACATTAAACTGATGTCAAACTGATTTTGGCAAGATGCAGAACAAACAAGCCTTGTACAGTTTGAGACCTTGTTTTTAACATGTAAAATGCTTTTTGGATACTATTTTTTTTTTTTTTTTTTTTTTCCTCCTCTCTAACGTTTGGCAAAAGTCTCTTTAGCTCAGCTGCATCACTTGGCTGCGATGTGGCGTGAAGCAGCTGGCTCAATACTGTGAAACTGGAGGCGCTGTAGATAGCATGTAAGAGGTTTTTATTGTAAATTGTTTATTTCTGTATAGATCAAAGATGAGAATACAAATGACAAAACACCTCTTACACATCTGTGAGTGCTACATGTCATTTCAATTGAGGCTGGAAAACCTGATTGAACTCACTGCGTTGGCTTTAAAGCTGTGAGGAATTTTCTCTTGAGATAGCATTCAGTACATCAGAGGCTAAAGAACAAGGAATGTGGCTGTGGGTGAGATTAAAGAGCCTATTTATAATAGAAAATTGTAACAACCTTAATGTTTTTGTTTTAGACCAAAATTAATTGGTAATGGCAAGGATTTTTTATTTTTTATTTTTTATTTTTTTTTTATCATCTTTAGTCAAACTATGAAATGAAGTATAACTGCATTCTGAGTTGGAAAGCCTGGAGTCTTTTCCTCCTCTGTACCACTAGGTTTAATCGGTGAATTTTCCCCTAGAGGGTTTCTTTCATTGATCTCCCCACTTTGGTGTTCTGCCTTTTTTTTCCCCACATTGATAAATTTGGAAAAATTTGCATAAGCAGATCTGATACATTTCACCTTCCAAGTTTATAGGACACAAAATTTGCACATCCAACAAACATTTGCATTTGTTTGGAGTTGTCTTTTTCTAACTGGTGAATTTCATTCGATTCTGTTTTTCCTTTTATTAATCTTTTGTTTGCTCTCCCTTATCTCTTTCTGACTAGTTTATAACCCCGCCACTACTTTCACCAGCTGGCTGTTTACTGTTTTTGCTAAGCAGCTGCAGCTGAAAACTATGCTACAACTGTATAAATGCAGGCAATGTGGGACTGCAGGCTGGAAAACCACAAGAAGGAGCTAAAAGATGCTGAATAATAGTGTAAAGTTGAGTTTAAGTACATAGGCAAAAGGTCTTTGATTCTTGCATAAGAGAAACACAGTTTACATTAAAAAAATCATGTTAACAAAAAACTGATTATAGCCACATTAAAAAAGTATTTGATGCCCATAGATTTAAAAAGATTTCATTAGGGTTTGTTGGAAGACTTGGCAGTACTTATGTATTTAACAATGAATATGCACAGAAAACTCCAGTCTTATGATTCACAATCTGATGAGAAACCCTTTGATAGGAAATGAGAACTGAAAGCAAGCGGAGCAAACTTTATCTAGACAAAGAGCAGGGTGGCTTTTAGTGGTGGACTGAGTCTTTTCTTCCATGTTTATGATTATGGTGGAAATCACCACATGCTAGCACAGCTGCTAACACTGCCCTGCAATAATCCAGGAATTCAGATCTCTTCTGAATGACAGTTAAGGTGAAAAGGGTCTAAAGTCTCCTCCAGCCTGAGACTTTGGACTGTTTTTACTGCTGTTTTAGAAAGGTGTGGTGGTCAAAGTCTTGCTTTATGTTGCTCTACCTGGCACTTGAAATGAGATTTTGTGTTGATTAGACTTTTTAGTCATCATCTAAAGGTACAATTAAATAGAAACGGGATGAAACTACATATGGCAGAAAACAAAAGCCTAATAAACTATGGCTCTCTAGTTTGATGCGGGTGACAGGTACTGTCAAAATGAATGTGAGGAGGATTTAAACAGTAAAGTAAACAGCCAGTCATTTTTAATTATTAATAACCACTTATTCCTTATCCTGTGTTTTGTTCTGTCTTCTCTTGTTACTGACAACCTGATGTCTTGTATATAGGTAACACAGCAATCTGATAGCCAGAGAATGCACTTTGGCTTTGGTCCTAAAGGATTATTGTAAATTTTTTTTTTTTTTTTTTTAACCCTTCTTACTAAAATTCAAACTGTTTCTGTCACAAATTGACTGATTTAGGTTGGAGTGCTAGCGGGAAATTTGGAAGTAAAGGTTTTCACTTGAATTCCACATTAGACTGATGGTATCATTAGATGGTACAAACACATTCACCCTTTCTTGGACTTCTTGGCTATAAAATTGCCTCTTTAAAATAATGACGCTTCCTAACTTGAAACCACTGGAGCTTCAGATAAAGTCACTTCATTTAATTTACCAAAGTGGACGGTTTATTAATGTATTGCCATGTCAGTTAGTTGGGCCCCATCTTGTGGCCAAAGCAAAAGAATAAAACAAAGCACATCACTTAGCAGCTGAGGATTTGTAACATTCAGTTTTCCTTTAGCACAATGATGACCGTTTCACCTGCTAAACGACTGGAAAATATGTTAATTAAAAAAAAAAAAAAGACAGCTGCCATCTCTGAAAAACAACCAAACAAACTCTGAATTTGATAACTTCACTTTTGAACCGTTGACCTCAGCCTTGAAGTTGCATATCTGTATTTGTGTTCAAGGTCTATGTGTCACTGGAATTTTTTATTTTTTTTTTCCTCTTTTGTCATTTGGGACTGTGGAATAAGACCAGTGTGAGAAGACTGAAGATTGTAATATAAATGTGCCAACAAATAAACACCAGTATTTCACATTCAGGCTGGTGTGTGTGTGTTCAATACATCTCCAAGTGTGCTCTTTGTAGAGTATGTAGGTATTTACAACAACTGAAATATTGTAACTCTGTAGCCAACTCACCCATCAGTTTGTTTTAACTCTTGAGGTTCATGTGTAAAAAGAGTTAGGTCTACTTTCAGGATGTCAGCAGCAGGACATCTCAAAACTGTCAAGACGCTTTCCTTCATTAGATAAACCTGCTTATAAGCAGATTTGTCAAGTCAAATTTGTGTTGAAACATCGTAGAAATGTCAGATAAAATTAAAAGATAAGCTGGTTAACATTTTGTGAGCCTTCAGTAACAGCTACAACATAATTGGGTTTCTCATGGTCAAGTATAGTTCATGACATATTCATTAGTATCAGGGTAGATTGACATCCTTTCCAGGGTTGGTAGTACTTTCTGTCAACATAGGAAAATCAATCCATCCATTTTCTTCCACTTATCCAATTTAGGGTCGCACTACACCCTGGATAGGGTACCAGTCCATCACGCACAAGAGCCCAGATCCATCTTTGCTTTCAGGAAAACTATGAGAGTCTAAAAAGAAATTTTCCTCTGTGTAAAAAGGTTATGTTGGGTTAATTATAACTTTGGCAAAAAGGCCCAATTTAGTATACAGGTGAGTCATTGAGTCCTAGATCATTTCAACTTGACGCTACCATAACCACCTAATGTTTTCTGTGTGGACTAACAGTGAGGGAGATAACTGTAAAAATGACCCTCCACACAATTTACCCACCAGACTAACTTCCTGCCAAAAACAAAGGCATTTGTTTTTCATTTGACACCATCTCAGTCTCACTGTGGCACCTCTCTTGACACACTCATTAATTATCAAAGTATTTTAAGACTCAATTAATCCTGAGCTGGTCCACCATCACATTGCTCAAATTTATAACCAACGTATGTGGACTTTCGCCTGCTCATCTTACAAAATACTTTAAGAAGAAAAGCACAAACAGACCGAGTTGTATTTGGATTTTCTTTATTGTACACAAAGAGAGAGTGAAATTTACTGAGGCTGCTGTCCTCTGCCGCGTCCAAAGCCACCTCTCTGCAACAGAAAAATGTTGTCAGTCGACCAACATGTTCAATACAAGAATCTACAAGTTCAAGTTTTCCAGCTGCACTGTATAAACCACATTTAGCTTTCTGACATTCCTTTTTAAAACCCATGTAAAACCGCACCCACAAATTTAGGGAGGAGAGCCTTTGTTGTTCTGCTGTAGAAAACAATTCTTATAACAGAAAAACATTCAAGATCAAGACAAGGTTTTTGTTGCCAGCCCATTTCTCAAAATACCCGCATGAAACAAAGGAAATGTACTTACGAACTGGAACTCTGTGGCAGCTCCAGCACCGGCCTCTGCCTTCTTGTCAGCACCAGCTAAAGGAGAAGTTATGAGTTAAGAGGTCAGCCAGTAACTTTCAGAAATGTCAAATTTGTTAAAACTTCACCATAACATGTCAAATATATACCAAAATTAGACGGGGGGGGGGGCAGTAATAATAATTTTTACTATTGTTTTTCTTTGATAAACAAGTTTAAAGTTCACACCAGCAAATTGCCTTCTGAACATCAGAATGATGTGATGGGAGCTTCATATGCCTCATTTTTAAAATCCAAATCCTCCACATACATCGATTTTTGTCTTTGTCATATAAGCTCAATCCTTTCAATAATATATATTTGATAACATGTTTCATCTGAATCATTGTGATCATTTTGTTGTAGAACAGTTTTCTAAAGGAAACATGATTTAGATTCTCACCTAAGAACATATTTAACATGTCATTTGCTTTTGTTTTGGCACAAGCACTACTGGTTTGGAAACAGGCTGTGATTTGGCTTAAAACAAACCATTTTACAACATTACATTTACCATTAACGTTTAACATTTTCCAGGGCATTGGTTTCTACTGCCATCTAAAGGTGACATAGCCAGTGTAAAGTTTTTACATGCAGTGATTCAGACAGCCACTAGAGGTCCTCCAACTTTAAAATTTTATACAAATCTACTCAAAGTTTATCGAGGTGCTCGGATGTCTGCAGATGCCTGTACTTTTAGGAGGCAGGTAATTTCAGAGCTTTGTGCGGTTAAAACTATTGGTGTTAATATCTGCGTGACCAGCCTATAAGAATGAGGACTGAGGTGCTCATTCAGACAAGAGTAGACAAACTATAGGAACATGTGGTGGGTCACATCACTGCATTTTCACATTTCACTCTGAAAAATCAAGACATTTTATTAATGCATAACACCACCGTATGATTTAATGATCCAAAATTACCATTTTAGTTTGCATCATTCATGTAAACATCACAAGACCACATGAGCAACTCATAATGTGACTAGTGTAGTTGGTGTTATACGTACGGGGCGCGGCAGATCGCCTGTAAGCATCTCTGTCAGCCTCCCCACGGTTAAGGCGGGCGGGCCTCTCTCCTTCCACTCCTGCAGGTAAAAAGATGACAAAACATTAAGCTCCAGTTTTCCTAGCTTTCCAAAAGAGGAAATTAAATGGGCTTTAAAATTCTTTAATTTTAATGCTAACAATTCTCACTAAATATAAGTCTTTGGACTCTGAGGTCCCTCTTTTGAGTTTATTAATGAACTACTTAAATTTGTATGCTTTACAACACCCCCTAACAGCAAGAGGAGACCATAACATTTTATGTGGCACTTAATTGCTGAAACCTCTTTAGCATATTTTCACAAGATCCAATTGAAGATGCCAATTGAAACTGCAACTTCAGCTTCAACGAAAGGCAAGGAAATTATGAAATGAGATTGTTACGATCTAGTTCAGAAGTCAATCAAAAAATTTTCATTGATAAAGTGAAAAAAATAAACCTCATTTAGAACAGATCACACTCAGGATCCAGAACATCTAAAACAATGTGCTGAAGTTTAGATTAGCAACTTTGATTTCTGGAAAACTGTGTTTGAGCACCAGATTTTGAGTTCACAATCAGCTTCAATATCATTTATAACCTCAGGAAGCATTACCATATTAAATACTATTACTAGTATTTCTGGCTTCAGGAAATGAAAAATCAAAACTTATTAGAAACAAGCATGTATGATAGATGTTTTACCCTTGGGCCTGGGCCTTGCGGTCTCAGGGCGGGTCTGGCGGCGCAGGGTGGCGGGCACGATCTCAGGGGGAAGGTGGAGGAAGTCTCTCAGGTACTGGATGCCCTCATTGGTGAGGTACCAGTAGAAATGGCGCCAGGCAAATTGCTCCTTGACGTACCCACAGGACTTCAGAGACTGCACGGAAAAGCACAATTACCACATTATACTGACTACCACAATAAATCAGTACAAAATCTAGGTTGGTATGGCAGCACTATGCAGAAAGTATCTTTAGGCTTCTTGCTCAGGTAAGTGCACAGAAAGCAAGTAAGTGCACAACAGTGCTAACCACCACACACCATACTGCCCTACAATCATTCCAAAAGATAAAATGAACTCAGATGCGATAAATTCTGAGCCGACACCAACACCCATGTGAAAAATGTTTGAAAGAGCAAATAATCAGCCACACAACTTTACGAAACCTGAAAGGGCACAAAAGATACACATCAGTAATATCCTACTGTAAATGCCATTTGCCATGAGTGTGACGGCAGTAAAAATCAGCTAAATGTTACATCCTCTGTGAAAGCCAAAGAAAAATAAATAAAAAATAAACAGATACATGCTGATTTTTTCCCCACATACAACAGTGGACCAAATCAAACAGTCTATTAAAAACTGGTGGGGCACACACAAAGAGGGGACAGATCCTGACATTTTGTTTCCATTATGGCAGGCATTGCATAAAACACTGGGATGTGAGCGCCATGCACAAGGTAGCGATGGCATCAGCCACTTGTATACATTACACAGTAAACTCAAAATAAAATCAAGGACTCATAGGTGTACCAGATGACCACATGCCACAGAACTAAATGCAGCAGCCTAGGTTCGCCTTCAAGCCAAGTCCTTTTTTCTGCATGCATTCCCTTACCTCCTCTCTTCTTAACGGCTCTATATTATAAATATAAAAAGAAAAGTCTAAATCTGCACTCACTCCCGCTCTTCTGGGAGGATAGGAATAGAGTCCCAAACTAGAGTATCCTGAATTTGCCTCGGGTTTAGCCACCCCAATCTGGACCACGCCTAAACAAAAATCTTCCCTAAGAGGTGTAATAACAACATGCCCAAACCATCTAAATTGGCTCCTTTTAATGCAGAGGAGCTTCACTTCAGAATTAACTGCTGAAAAGAAATATAATTCTCATCCCTTAAATTTCTCTAACCCAAACATGTAAGGGGGACATTGTCCAGACAGCATGGTACTGTTAAACTACTAAACAACTTTTACAGGTACACAACCAGGACTTGATATCTGGACTGACAAATGACATCTTCCCACTTAAAAACACAAACCCAGAACTCCTAAGTGATGCTCAAAACACATTCATGATCACTTTGTCACATTCCCCCACTTTCTTCTCCCCACGAGCCCATTTACAGTCACTACATCTCAGTTAATTCTAGTCTTGGTGAGAACTTTACAAGCTGGACCTTCGTTCTTTCTCACCTGCATCGCTTTCATCACGTGAAGGTTGGGTACATTCTTGTCAGCAAGCTCAGGATGCTTGGCCAGGTGGACGTCTTTCTTGGCCACCATGACTCCCTCCTTGAAGAGGAGCTCGTAGATAGCAATGCGGTTCTTCTTGGGCATCAGCATCTGCATTAAGAGACAACGTGCATCAGATCCCTGGAACTCAACCCATACTTACAGCAGCCTCAATAATAGCATGCTAACTGGCTAGCGTGCTAAGACACATCTAGTAATGAAAATCAAATCGCTGAAGAGACAATCAGCGGACGCTTTAATAATTCAACACATCAGGAATGTTTGGACACATTCACATCAACAGCCACTCTGTTTTATAGAAATTAAAAGCTAATATCTGAAGACCGCGTCACAGGAGAAAAATGGCAACCGTTCGTGAACGCCGAAGCCGGGGTTACTTCTCTACTTCTAAGCCGAATATCAACGACTGAGAGGCGTTTAAGGCTAAAATACGCATATGTCTCCATTTATAATTTTAATAACAATGAAAAAACGATTATTTTTATTTCACAAAATCTGAGATGGTGAAGATATATTTGGATTATTGCGCCGGGTCTCACTTTACCTTTCCACTTGTTAAGGGACCGGAGCCGGAAGGAAAGTTTCTCTTCGATCAGGAAGGTTTATGCTGTGGCGCGGGCCGGCTGGAAAGGCTCGCCCTCTGCTGGTGTGGAGGGGAAACGTATCCTGTGTTCAATATGGAGCTGCAAAGTTTGGGGTCATCCTTTAAAACCAGCTGCACGAGCTGATCAGCGACTTCTTCTTAGTTTAAAAAAGACGTGAAGGGCATTTCAAAACTCAACAAAATCATCCACTAGTGCTCTGTGCTTCTTCTCCTTCTGTATGACTTTGTTTATTTGTAATATTAATATTACAAATAATGAATAAATAAATAAATAAATAAATAAATAAATAAATACAGTGATTTTTTTTTTACACAGCAGTGATTCAAAGGCTTCAGAAACATGGACCCTGGATAGCAAGATGCAGCCCTCCAAGAAAAGAAAGTTACTCCTGCAGAAAATCTTCATATCTACCTGGAATATTTTTAAATATGCATAAGAGCAGACAGACCTTTTTTTACTGAAGGGATGTGGCATTTAAAAATCAAAACAAAACAATAACCCCAAGAAATGTGTTGTATGCAGTCCATTTATTTGCATGGAAGCTTCTTTCAGAATAAAGAAGTAAAAATCTCGGGGTATTTTCCCAACCTGACTCGAAATACATTTGGTCTGTTTCAGTATTCAGTAAACAGTATTATGGGCTATTTCTACTCCATTTTTACTTTATTTTTACACAGACTACACACAGTCACAGTGTGTTAACACACAGGCAATGAAGTATATTCAGTATAATATAGCAAATAATTAGAATTATTTTTCAGTTGAGTTACATCAAAAAACTTGGTATAAATGAATGATAATTTTGTGGCAGTCATGTCTGCAAGAGTGAGTAATCAAAGAAGAAATAAAAATAAGATTATTTAGATAACAGCAATTTGCCACTGTCCAAAAATACTTGTTCTTAGTACAGTGAAAAATAGAAAACATGTGCTTTCAGCTTCTCTAATACAAGGATTTCATCTTATACATATTTGACACAGTTTCCTGGAAACGTTGTAATAATAATAACAACAACAATAACAATAATAATGATAATAATAATGATGATAATAATAATAATAGGAAGAAGAAAATTGGGCATTTATTTTGAAAGACCTTCCCGGAAAACAACCCCTCCGTTACGGTTGGTTTGATTTGAGCCGTCTCACCCTCCCCCATCTGGCGGCTCCTCTCAGCGGCGCGTTTACCGGCGACAGAAAGGAGGCAGTCTCGGGTGATGAACGGAATTATTACATTTTGAGAGCTCAAAGGAAGCTGGATTATCAATTCGTATAAATTCGTAAGTTATTCTTGATTTCTTTCATAACCGTGTGTCTGCTATCAACAGCTAGCCACCGGCGGTTGATTTTTATGATGAAGTAGCTTAATTCAGAGCAAATATTACTGCTGTCGGCGATAACGAGGCAGCAAGCGACCGCGACGATTGCCAACGAGATTCAATTAAAGTCCACAGATTTAAAAGTTTTTTTTTTTATATAAAAGAAATACAAGTCTCCCTAAGATTTGTTATTATTTGCCTCCCTTATCTGTGCCTAAAACCCGCAGTTTGTATCTAACACCGCTGCTCTGTTCTGCTGCTTCATGACACTTATTCATATAAAAATGAGCAAAGATCAGCAAATCTACAATCTGAGTCCTTAGTAGGAGTTTCTGTGAAGAAAGTGCATGAAGCATTGGAGAGCCGGCCGGCAGCAGCCTGTGCGGGCTACTGCAGAGGGCAGGGAGGGACGTCTGAAGTCAAAAGCTTGTCCCTGGGCAAAAGCCCGTGCTTCCTCCAGACCAGCACATTTCTTTGATTTATCGCTGGAGATCAGCTGGTGGTAAATCAGGCCAGACAGGGCTGCTGACCTCCCCCTGAGCAGAGTCTCTCATCTCTAAGTGTTAGTGAGCTCTGTCCACGGTTCTGAACTCAGATCTTTGGTAGGCTCTGCTGTACAGACAGACCGTGAGAGATCAGACCACTGGAGACTGTGCATCTAGAATGCAAAAGGGAAAAAGTTGTGTAAGAACCATAGATTAAAATGTGCATCATACATCAATTTAATGTGCAATTAAAAAAAGAAACACTCAAAGAACAGTTTTGCCTTTTTTCACTTCCTGTGGTTCTGAAGGCAGCTATTAGAAACCTTCTCAGTTCGATCTTGCAAACTCCAAAGTCTGTCATTTTACCAGGAGGACTAACAGTTACATAAACATGTTCATACTGTAAGGATAAAAGTGCTGTATAAACGTGTGCGTGATTGGCTGAATGAGACTTACCAAAAGTAGAGAAGTGCCCGAATTGAGTAGAAAGGCACTGTGGAAGTACCACTCCATTTACTATGTGCTTTAATATCTGGCTGAACAGTTGTGTATTAAACTGACAACTGGGGTTGCCTGCAGCTCTTCTAATCCATTACCTGAAAGAGGTCGAGGGTGTACTGCTAATTTGATTTTGAACTTCCTGAAGTAATTATTTCCCAAAATACTCTTTTAAAGTCACTTTTATTTTATTTTTTACAAAAAAACCAAACACTTCTTCTACATTACAGAAAGCTTACTGTGTACATGTGGGTAGATGTCCTTTGCTATATGTTAACCTGGTGAGTTAATTAACCAATAATTAGGTGACAACAGTGTCAATTATTTATTAATTATTCACATTATTTGTCAATTTGAGGATCTGATGTTTTATCTTCTCCATAATTGTAAACACTTGAGATCTGACAGTTAAAAGTTGGATAAAACACCGCATTTGTGACACGTTTCTGGAGAATTGATGAAATTGTGCTTTTTTAAAATTTTTGTTTTTTACAAATAAACATTTAAAGATTAAACCTTAATTATTTTCCAAGCACAGTCTTGTCCATCCAGTGGACTGAGCTTTGCTTTGAGTCTATAAGCTTATTCAAAATCCTTTGCCTCTCATGTTGTTTACTATAAGGAAGTCTTTGCAGCTCATTTCTCATCATCAAACTCATCATCCTGCTATGACAAGGCTTAAACAAACACTGCCCTGTCATAACAGGCGCCATTTGCATGAGAAAACACTGCAAGCGAGTTGGTGCTCTAATTTTTTAATGATGAACTCGTGAAGGAATGTGATCTTTCATTGTGGGTGAAATTTCTTGACACTAAAAAGTGTTATTTATATTTATTTTGTTTTATTCTTTTTTATTTGAAATTACTTTTCTCTTATTAAGATGTGTATTTTGTCCTTTTTTATTCTATTCTTCTAGCAGTTGTACCAAGGAAATTTCCCACATTTTGGAAAAATAAAGTGTATTGTCTATAAACTTATTATGTGAATATTAGGAAGGTTTATTCAGCTACGATGACTGGAGCAGTAATGAAAATATTAAAGACATGATAGCAGCTCAGTCCATTTAGGCATGTAGACACTGGGATTGTTTCACAACCTTTAACTTTAAGCTGAAAGGAGAGCACTTATTATAACCAAGGTATGCAGAAGAGCATCTCTGAGTGCACGACACATTGAACTTTGAAGCAGATGGGCTGCAACAGCAGAAGACCACGCTAGGTGCCACAGATGTTGGATAAGAACAGCAAATTAAGGTTATAATTTGCATGGGCTCACCAACATCAGATAACAGAAGACTGGAAAAACCTTGTCTCATCTGATGAGTCTTGATTTTTAGCGTCAGAATTTGGTGTAAACAATATCAAAGCATGGATCCACCCTAGTTTATATCATCAGATTAGGCTGATGGTGGTGGTGAAATGATGTGGGGGGGATTCTCAGCACACTTTGATCCCAACCCTTTAGTATCAATTGAGCATCATTTAAATGCCACAGCCTGCCTGAATATTGATGCTGACCATGTATAGCTCTTTATGAGTGTACCTATTTTCTGGTTGCTGCTTCCAGCAGGATAATGTGCCATGTCACAAAGCTCATATCATCTCAAACTGATTTCTTGAACTTGACAATGAGTTCACTGCAATCAAATGGCCTCCACAGTCACCAGATCTTAACCCAACAGAGCACCTTTGCTATTTGGAGAAATGGAAGATCCTCATTGTCTATTTGCAGCCAACAAAACTGCACGAACTGTGTGATGCTATCATCTCAATATGGATCAAAATGTCTGAGGAATGTTTCCACCACCTTTTTGGGTCTATACCAAGAAGAGTTAAGGCAGTTCTGCTGGCAAAATGAGATCCAATTGAGTACTAACAAGGTGTAGTTAATGAAGTTGCCAGCAAGTGTAATATATCATGAATTGATGCTTCACCACAACAGTGGGGTCTGCCCCACAGTTTGAGGACCACAAACTTAAAGAGGGAGGCCTGAGTGCACACATGTTAAAGAGCTTTCATTTGAGTGCCAGCTTGGATTAGTTTATCTGAAAAATTAGTGACACTCATTTGATTTGCTGCTGGTGGTTCAGCCCCTCTCCATTTTTGTAGGAAGGGTGACAGATGAAGTATCACTGTTAACGTAATCAATTAGACTAAAACCTAGCCCGTCTTTGCTTTTTGTATGAATAATTAGGGATATGTCATTCCCAGTGGGAATAGACACAACAGTTTGCTTCCAGTTGTCATTTGTACTTTCCATGATTGGCACGTCACATCTGGTGCACCCTGCCGATGTTAGACGATTGGAAGAAAGCAATTAGGCTTGAGTATTTCTTTCTATGTGTCCCTTTAGCCTTTGTAACCTAGAATATGGCTTCAGACATCCTAAGCTACTCCATCTATGTCTGGCTTTGGATGAATGCAATTAAAATTTTAATTTCATCTTAGTTGCTCTGAGAATTACCCCAACATTAAAACAGATGAGTGCTTTTGCTGCATGTTTTGAAAACTGCTGTGTGTTTGGACAAACTCTCTGGGTAATAATTTCCGTCGCTGAATGGAAGGGATCCACTTATAGCTATCTCAATACATTTTTAGTGGCTCAGGCTTTTAGGTAAACGGTTGAGAGAGCAGGGCCTTCGATTCTGCTGTGAACTAGAAGGTAATTGGTGTCTCAGATAGGATCCTCACAGGGGATCATGAGAGAAAGCAGGGCTGTTTTGCAAACCCTTAAAGGTTTGCATCCTCCATCCTTTAGAGCTGAAGTGACACATGAAATGATGTAGTTTTCACTTAGCTTCTCCTTAAATACCTGTAGATGAGTTGTGTTGTTTTGTGATCCAGTTGTTTTCATGTAGTGTGGTTTCAACCAGAAAAAGAGTAGAAAAAGAATCTGCAGAAAAGTACAATTTTGCTTGTTTTTTTCTGCTGCTGTTCCAATAGTAAGATGGATTAGGCTCGTGTCTGCTATCTGGATCTCTTTTAAGACTAAGTTTTGAGCTTTGGTCAAAACTGACTTTGTTCATGATTTTCCTGTAGACTGACTAATCAGTCAACAAATCTGTTCAGCTTAATAGATGTTTTAAATGCAGCATCTACCTGTACATATGTGGTTTGGTATGAACCTCTCAGATCCCCCTTAAAAGCAAACCAGTAATGAAAGTCAAATCTATTGTATTTATTTACATGGGTAATATGTTAATGACTCATTTTCTGTTTCAAAATTGTCTGCCCAGCCACTGCTTGTGTTTAGGTACTGTCTGACTTCACTGCACTGTGCCTTTAGATTCTTAATCAGCACAGTCTGACAGTGACTGTGCAGTGCAGATCAGCTCCTAGCACAATCCAGACATCACATTTATACTCGTATAAATTCAGTTCTTCAGCTGCTCTTTCATTACCATGAACTAGAAGTGCTTGATAAACAGACATGTTAGAAGCAAAATATTGTGGACATTACCTTTTCTCAGTTTTGATTTTTTTTTCCTTTTGTGAGAAAAGGTATTTTAAAGGTAAATGGGTGATTTCATAGGTTTATATTCTGTTTTTTGTGTATGTTTTGTTAACCTGACTCAGCCTTTCCCCCCAGAGGTTTAAAGCGCTACAGACCAAACAGTTAACAGTTAAAAAATTAATTACATGCAGCCCAAGACTAAACATTTAATTTAAAAAGGCAATGAGGAAAATAATACTTAGTTGCAGTCTTTATGAAAATCTGTATTTCAAACTGGGGCTCAGGGCCCTGAAAGTTGTCCCAAGTTAAATGGATCTAAAAATAATTATAGACAAAAGCAATTATTTTTCTTGTTTTTCCTCAAATTCTAATTCATTCGCAAATTGTTTTTACCCATTAGGGCAGTACAGTCTTTAATAATTTCATCAGGCACAGTATTTTTCCCGAGAAGACATTCTTTAGCTGTAGTTTACCACAACTCAGGTTTTTGTGAGTATCAGTGAGAGCTTCACTGAGCAAATGCA